GCTCACTTTGTAGCCCAGGCTGGCCTCGAACTCCCAACGATCCTCCTGCCTCAGCCTCCTGAGTGCTGGGATTAAGGCGTGCGCCACCATGCCTGGCTCAGATTCTATCATCTTTGAAAACCTGAATCCAGTATGACTTTATAGAATAGTGCCCACCCCGTGAGCCATTGACCAATGCCTGCAGGCATCAAGGAAACCCAGTTCACTATATACACATTAACTGAGGTTCAAACACACCTCAAATCACTGTTTATATCCACGGTTTTCTCCTCCCAAAATAGAGGTTCAAAGATAAACTCAAGATGCCTTTGAATGAAAATAAAGTAAAGCAAGGGGCTGGGGACATAGCTCAGTAGCGCAAGTGTCTGCCTGACAAGCGTGAGATCGTGAGTTCGATTCCCAGTACCAAAAAAAAAAAAGAAAAGAAAGTAAAACAATATACCTTCTAAGACAAGGCGCTTACAAAATAATGCAGATTGCTAGGCTCATTTAGCATGGTGTGAAAGTATATTCCCTGAAAAAGCTGAAACACGACACAAACCTTTATGAAAAATTGTAACAAGTCCTTTACTATTTCATAAATGCCAGGAGAGAATCTGAGACAGTCTGTAATGAAACTTAGAAACCTTTCCCCTTGTCTCTTTCTTCTAGCCCTTCACTGTGTGGAAGAGATGTTTAGTTCTTCCAGAGTTTTGCTGAGCTGAGTGGTCTCTGAAGTGACTGGACTCTCCAGGTAGGTGGTTCCTGCACACGGTTTTCCTGTTATCGGATCGATGACTCTGCCCACTTTGAAGATGATCTCAGCCAGTTCATGTTTCACGTGCTTTGTTCGTGGAACAGGTAAAGCCTTGAGAAGTACAATATCCCCCACAGTGCACTGCTGAAGGGCATCGTGAGCAAAGTAGGTTTTTCGCTTATTAAAATACTGTTGAGAGAAAAAGAGGAACAAATTAGTAGTTCCCAGCCCTGACCGGGCAGTGCAGTATAGATTATAAAAAAGAAATGGACAGAAAACAAGCCAGGACTTGGGGAAAGAAGATACTTAAGGAAACCTCTAGTACAAAAATGAGCTGCTTAATTTTTGGAAAACAGCATGACTTGTCCCAGAGAGGATCTCACCCCTGAGCTCTAGCCCCTTCCAAGCAGTATGACTGCTCTGACCCTAAGTCTTCCTGCCCACTGAGGCCTTCTCTCCAGCCTGTAACACACTGCACTCTCCGCGAGCTGTGAGTCCATGCTGGGTTTCTTCCCCATAGAAGGCAGCTCCAGAGAATTAGCTGACATAACGTACATAAAGTACTTAGTTCTTTGCCTGGCTCAAAGAATCACTAAGAACCTACAGATGGCAACTAGAATCACCTTTTCTTTTTTTTTTTCTTGGCGGGTGGCCATTGGGAATCAAACTCAGGACCTCACGCTTGCCAGGCAGGCACTGCACCACTGAACTAAATCCCTGACCCACCTTATTTTTCATAACCTTGCTGCATCCGGTTTTCCCATTTTATAGATGATAAAACCAAGCTTAAGAGGTTCAGTTGTATACACAGCTGATAAACGAGTCAGGGCTCAAAGAAAGGCCTCCTAATGCTAAGGCCCACACCATCACTCTAGTCACATCGCTCTTTGGCTTACTTCTGTGTTTCTGTTGCCAGATGATGAGCAGCATTTCTTTTTCTTAATTTAATTTAATTTAATTTTATTTTTTGTCTTTTTGAGACAGGGTCTCACTATGCAGTTCAGGCTGGCCTTGGCTTCACTTTGTAGCCCAGGCTGGTTTTGAACTCCCAAAGATCCTCCTGCCTCAGCCTCCCAAGTGCTGGGATTACAGGAGTGCACCATCACGCCCGGCTTGATGAGCAGCGTTTCTAACTACCCGCGAGCCCAACCACGAATGCAGTAACCACTCTTGTTCACCTGACAAATCACTGACTGTCTCTTCTACCTAGAAACTACCTTTCCCCACTCCATTTCCACAGCTTTAACTTTAGTTCGGATCCTTATCCTTTCCATTCTCGACTTCTACAATACCCTCCTTACCCTAGTGCTCGTCCCTACCCCTATGTCTCCAAGCCCGAAATCCGAAACACTAAAGACCCTTCACAGTCGGCTCCCGTTGTCTTTGCATTTATTCAACAAGAGCGCCAACCTCTGGGCTCCACCTTGCCAAACCCTATGCTGTTTCCGTAGCATGCCATTCCCCGTCAGGAGTAAGTGAACTTCCGTGTACTACTCATCACAGCTGGAGTGGCTGTTCTCCATCTAGTTCTCTGGATAAAATCTTCAGCTCAAATATCTCCTAATCAAAGAAGCTCTTCTATGTCTGAAAGTGTGCTGTTCTCTGTTCCCACAGTGCTCTGCATGCAGACTAAGTAGACCAGTTATCAGACTGCCTTGAAATCAACTCTGTTCCTCAAATGCACAAGCCACGTTATACTCACAGACCAGGACAGTACCTGGCTCACAGCGGATGCTCAACAACTCTTTACTGAAGGGGAAGTTTTTTTTTTTCTGCTCAAAACCTAAGAAATGTTGGTGATTTATCAACGCCACCGGAAAACAGGTATGTTCCTCACCTTTAATAAGTAGCGATCCAGAACAAGTCTGGTCACTCTCACTTTAGCAGTTTTTTGCATTGCTGTACCAATCACCTTCCCGACGATCCATTTGGCATGCACGGATGAACGAACTGCTGACATTCTGTGGCTCCGATCTCCTGGAAAAAAAAAGTTTAACTTTTGGAGGTTATTACTCGCCAAATGAATTTTGTCAGTAAAATCGCTGAGATTCAGAAATAGCTTCTGTTATCTTTCTGGAATCACTATTGCAGAGACGTTTACATGTCCCTTTTGCCTTCGGGACCCAACCTCCATCTTTATAGTGTTGACAAAGCAGCAGCATTAATCTTTTTCAGCCTTGCCTCCCTGACAAAATGGGGCTACTCACAGGAATGTGCTTAAGACTCCACCTATAAGGCGCTCAATAAACAAACGCTGGCGGAATTCTGACCCTCATCACCCCCCATGCCACAGGGCGACCTCGCCAAGACTGCACAGCTCGGCTACTCGCAGCGGGCAAGACGCACGGCCGGAGACCTTCACGTGGGGCTGCTTTCAGGGCCGATACTACTGACGCCATCCCGCTGTGCATGGGGAAGATCGGGGTGACTTGCCGCCCCAGCCCTCGGCAACCCTGAGATCAGGTGACCCGACCCGATCACACGCCCCTGCATCCCTGCCCCTCAGACCTTGAGACCAGCACTCACCAGGGCTCTAGTGCGCAACCGCAAAAGCCACGGCGCACCGCCCGAGCGTGTGTGCGTCACGCTGCACGCAGGCCCCGCCCCCATCAGCGTCTTATTGGCCGCGCGTGCTCTTAGAGGTCAGAGGTGGACTCCGTGCAATCTCCCGTAAAAGTTGGGGCGGGGCGTCTCAATCGTGACAGGAAGGTACTCTGCGTATGCTTTCCCCGCGTGAACTGCGACAGGAGCGCAGGAGGTTCCGGTAGTTTCCCCATTCTTTTAGTGTCCTCTTCCGGTGGGGAGTTGAACAAGGTTTTCTAAGTCAAAGGCATTTTCACTCATGGAACATTGAAACTTTGGGCCTATAAAAAAAAAAAAAAAAAAACAACTTTGGGTTTAGTTAAGTAGGAGGAATAACTGGTAATGTTCTGTTGCGCAGTCAGGTAGCTATGGTTGACAACATTAATTGTGAATGTCAAAATATTTAGTAGAGATTTTGAATGTTTTCAAGACAAATAGTAAATGAGGTGATCGATATATCATTTATCCTGATGTGACCATTAGACATAGTATTAGACATGGGAATGCCCCTGTGCCTCATAAATATTTACAATTTTTTTTGGTCTTTTGTCTTTTGAGATAGGGTCTTGCTATGTAGTTCAGGCTGGCCTTGAGTTCACTTTGTAGCCCAGGCTGGTCTCAAACTTGCAGTGATCCTCCTGCCTCAGTCTACGGAATGCTGGGATTACAGGCGTGCGCCACTGCGCCCCGCCTGCAATTATAATTGTATTAATTAACAATTTAGTAAGTTTTAAAAATTGAGACATTTAAATAACAAGTTGAATAACAATTCTTTTAAAAATGAAACATTTAAGTTTCCAAATTCTAGGATTGAAATAACCGTTTTTATCCTCAGGAAACGTCCCCCCCTCCACTGGGGATTGGACACCCAAGACCTTTACACTGAGCTACATCCCCAAACCATTTTTTATATTTTGAGACAGGGTCTTGCTAAGTCCCAAATTCCACAGGCTGGTCTTGAACTTGTGATCCAGATTATAGGTGTGTGCCTGCCACCCTACCTGGCTCTTGTGCTGCTTTTGTAGCTTTTTATGACCAGTATGACTTTCGCTGTTATTTCTTAGTATCTGAGATGAAAGGAAGTCAGCTACGTATTTTGTGTGCCAGTTATGAAGAAGGTATGGGCCATGAGCAGGCTGCCTGGTGATGCCTTCTAAGAGGGAAGACTGATAATATATTAGGTTCTTACTTTCAAATTGCAAAGAATAGCAAGTAATAGGGTATTGAAACAGGCTATTTGTCCAAAAAATATAGGTGTGATGAATCTTTGACTATGGAAACATCTTAGCAGCTGGTGAGGGAAGACTTGGAAAATAAGGATTCATCCAAACATTAATTTGTCCGACATGCATTTGTTTCTTAGCAAATATTTATGGGACACTTACTCTCAGACTTTGTGTTATGTATTGGGCAGAAAGATGAATACAAGGGCACCTTTGCCCTCAAAAGGCTCACAGTTCAATAGGACAGATGAGAAAGAAACAATTATAAAATGAGCATAGGTGAACCCAAGCCTGGAGAAAGATTTGGGGATAGGGGAGCTGGATCAGTAAATACAACAGTCTTCCCCACCCCCTGGAAGGTGTAGCTGTTTTGGGCCAACAGTGCTGGCAAGAGACTTACTGCAAGGAAATACCTCAAGCTGACCTGAAGTAGGGCTGATTGGGACTCCAAAGAAAGAAACTGTAAGTGCCAAGGTGATTAATATTTATTAAAGGAACTTCTAGAAGGCTCCAGTTTATCTGTGGAACCGAATGCAAAAGAAAAAGATGACATTCTAGGTATGCCCCAGTGAGGGTGTCAGGGAATGGAGTTTAGATGAGGGTTTAAGGCTCAAGGACGGGACCAGTTTCTTTCAGTGTTTTGGGCAGCATCTAATGCCTGTATTGGTGCCTGGAAACATTCAAGGCCATGGCTTGGACTTAATCTGCAAGGAAGATCCTATCACTGGCTGTGTCACAGAGTGGTCAAGGCATTCTGTGACGTCTGGTCAGGACACAGAAAGAAAATAGGGGGACCAGGGGGCCCTATAGAGGAATATGGGATGTAGGGAGATATTTGAGGCAGAAAGAAGTGTGGAAAGGTGCTGGGGTGTGAGGAAAACATAGTATTGAGAGAGATGGAGACCGCCACGGTGGAACAATGATGGGAGGGAAGGCCAAGATGAAAAAACAAGCCCCAGGTGCAGTAAACTATTACCCTTTGTAGTCTGCATGCAATGAAAAACTGTCACCAAGAAAAATCCCTATTATCCCTCTAGCTTCACTTAGTCAATTTAAGATCACCAATTTTGGAGGTTACACAGCTGGGTGATACATTTTGAAATTCTCAGCTTTGCTGTAGATGACACCCCGAAACAGTTACCTAGGTCATGTCCCAGAGACCTGCGGGCCACTTTTGCTGGGAACGCTGGCTTTTCACTTGGACCTGCAGATGTCTGGTGGGTGATTAAGACGAAATAAAAGGCTTGACACCTCTGCCTTCATGTTGTGTCTGTCCCCTTTGCTGTCACAGAGACATTGTTGGTCATTTTACAATGTTTCAGCCAGGTATGGTGGCGCACGCCTGTAATCCCAGCACTCAGGAGGCTGAGGCAGGAGGATCGTTGCAAGTTTGAGGCCAGCCTGGGCTACAAAGTGAGCTCAAGGCCAGCCTGACCTGCACAACGAGACCCTGTCCCAAAAAGATGACCAAAAAAAAAAAAAGTTTTATGCAAGAATGTGACGGGGTTAGCTTGGTCTATTGCCTGTTGGAGCTGGGATGTGTTTCCCCTGCTCCCCCCTGTGGGCTTTCAGCCACTCCAACACTAAAAGCCCTTCAGCCTGCCGTAAGGCTGGGGTGTTTATGCAGGATGGTGACACCGGCTGTAAGAGTAACTCAGCAGTTCCTGCGTGAAGTTGACCATCTGGTTGCCCACTGAGTACAAGGCCATGATGTTTGTGTAGGACGACGGTGGCATTTACAGGAAAGTTCAGTAGCTTCTAGGATGGGTTCACTGTGACATCGGGTGATTCAAGCCCAACACAAGAAGAAACATCTTTTGAAGCATGCCTTCAGCTAATTACTGGACTTTAGCCATCCCACCAAATCAATAAAAACCTGCTGCTCCCTTTGTTTTGGGAGCAGCAGTTTGGCCACTCTCTCGACTTACTCTGGCTCCCTTTGCTATAGCTCCAGCTCTGCTCAGGTCCACTTTGCTCTGCCCCAAGAGCTTTGCCTGTGCAGGCATGAGCACACTTGCAATCTTGGCCCAGTCTCATTTCTGCCATCTCTAGATCAAAAGGTCGCATCACATGGCATCTGCAAGTGTGTGTTCTGTTACTGCCTGAAAGGGTAGCAGGAACTAAGGCCAGGTCTCTACCCAGGAAGTATTTCTTTTTAAGACCTGACTTTTCCTTCTCAGTGATGGGGAGCCTGTGAAAACTGTGAGCATTTTTGTTGTTTTTCAAGATAATCATGGTGGTGTGTTCAGGACAGAATAGACCCATAAGCAGATAAAGGGATAACAAAAATGTTGTATATACGCACAATGGAATATTACCATATTTACTCGCAAACAAGGTTCTAATATATTTGCCACAAAAGACATAAGAAGCCTTATTTTCAGGGGATGTCTTATTTTTTATGTACAACAATCTACATTTATTCAGATACGGTCATATCTTCTTTTGGAACATTGTCAAACTCTCCAAACCCCCAGTTCTGACCTGAATTTCCTGAGACTGCATTTCCTGTAGAACTACTGACCCCATCTCTCAGGTCCAGCGACACAGCTCTCCTTGAATGAGCGCTTCTTGTCCACGTAGCCTGCTCGGAGTGCAGCGGCGACACAGCTGTCAGTGATTTTACCCTTGAGAATTCCTCACCTAAGTCCCGGCCTCTTGCATGAAATGAAGTGCTAATTGAAGACTTATGAGACAGGAGTGGCAACAAAAATGATGATGGTTAGGAAGGATGGGCCACACAAAAGTGAGGAAAAATGGCAGGCACCAATATTCAGAGAACATCTCTTTATTTGATACAAGTTATCAAATACATCTGTCACAACACACAACACACTGAATTATGCAGGTTCATGGAAGAGTCACAACCACATCCATTATCAAGTGTGCACGTTATTCATGTCTTGTGTCTGTACTCTGATTGGCCATTCAGCAATAAGTCTCGAGTTTATCTGTCCCCGCCTCCCCCCTCCCCCCCGCACCCCGAGTTCATCTGTTTACAAAGGTGTTTACTTCTTATCTAAAGGCACCTACTTGGGTATTTACAAATACTTAATTATAATTTATATTATCATTTAGGTATTAATATCAATAGTACTATTTATATTTAATTATAAGTTATTATTTTAAAATTCAGTATGTCCATTGTGGGTTGCAACAAATATACTAAATGAGACCATTTTATGTATATATATATATATATATATTTTGTGGCTGGGTCTCAATGTGTACTTCAGGCTGGCCTTGAACTTACCAGGTAAGCCGGGCATGGTGGCCCACCCCCGTAATCCCAGCACTTGGGAGGCTGAGGCAGGAGGATGGTTGCGAGTTTGAGACCAGCCTGGGCTACAAAGTGAGCTCAAGGCCAGCCTGAACTGCAGAGCGAGACTCTGTCTCAAAAAAAAGACAAAAAAAAAAAAAAAGAACTTACCATGTAGCCCAGGCTGGCCTCAGACTCACAGCAATCCTCCTGTGTCCTGAGTGTTCTGTAGGCTGGGATTATAGGCATGTGCCACCACACTCAGCTGAGGAATAGCCTCTTATATGAGATACCACAAATATAAATAGAGTAAAATAAAGGAGATATGGTAAGAAACAGGAAGACATACATTCTGGAGATGGGGACAAGAATCAGGGGATCAGGGGAAGGGGGAAGAGGGAAGGATGGGAGGGTAAAGGGCTGAAGAGTGAATATAT